AGTATTAATATGTATATAAAAGCAATCACTATACCATCAAACCATCAATATATCAACACTCTACAAGTTATGTTTGTCAGGACATTAGAAGAAAAAAAATGCAATTGTAGAAGTAACCAAACTGGGAAACTGATAAATAACTGATATTAATCAGGCCAAAAAGAGTAAAGACAGCATCCAGAACACTGAAAAGAACCTTCAATCCAGCTTCATTGCAAACTTCACATGAAGGAACACCGGCATTATTGAACCAACCACGCAGATCGAGAATGGACCTAATACCGATTCCAATATTATCATCTTCAGTGTAACAAAGCCACTTGTCTTTCACAAGTTGATCAAGAGTTTTTTCCTTCTGGGACATTGTGAAGTTCCTGAACGCAGCAGGGATGCCAAGTGAACTATCCTGTGATTGCAACCCAGAAATGTTTAGAACCTAGAAAAAAAGCAAGAAGGTTTTTCATGTTTCGATATGGAAACTTATTAACATAAACCATCATTCTATCTTAGCAAACAGTTCACAGGCCAAGCATACTTTCAATCAACAAAAGAGTAGCAAACTGAGAGATATCATACTTGTTTGACTCAATAATCAGTTAAACATTCAACATACACACTCTGGGAAATGTCAAAATCTTAACAACCAACATAGACAGGGGAGAAGCCAAAGGATCCAAACACACTGGGGTTTTAGTGTACTCATACTCGAGAAAAAGGTACAAAACTATTTTGGCCAGGCAGGAAAATTTATAATTTGCCCTCTTTTATTCCAGCAGACCCAACATATATTCCTGGCTTTCCATCTAAATATATTCAAATAGTAAAACTCTGATCCAACATCTATAGATACAGAATAAAATCAAACAGTAAACAAGCTCTGATCGATCATCAATAGTTATGAATTCAATCCGCAGTATATGTACTTTTGAGATATATATTCAAGCTTAAATGAATCTGCGTTAAGAAAAAAATGTAAATCCATAAAAAACGGTACACATATAAGTTAGATAGAAAATGGTAAAACCTGGCTCTCCAATTTAATATTGAGAACATCCATGTTGCAGATGCAGCCCTCGGCTGTAACATCCTGTGCTATGGCTTCAACCTAGATTGACAACCAAAAAGGAAGATTTTCAAGACAATGTATAATAATATTAATCAAACTCGTGAATCTGAATAAAAGAATTAATATTTTTCAAAGCATAAAGAAATTTCCCGTGTTCAATATCAATTGAAAAAAAAAAGGGGAAACTTGATTTACAATAGCCTTAAAGAAAGCAATTTGTGGGACAGAATATTTGGTTCCAAACTTCGATTGATCGTCGGAAACATTATTAACAACTCCATAATAAACTCGACCATCATATGGATCTCTACACGCCCTTAAATCCAATTGAACACACGAAAGTTCCCTGTTTATCTTGAGAAGATAATCATTGAATTTTCTTGGATGGTACCTAAAAGAGGACACAATTTTTTTTCCTTCGAGATAAGTATCGGGAAGATTTTAGTTTTTCCTTTTGAAAAAAAAAGGAAGAAGAAGAGAACCTGGGTTTTGGTCGGTGATGGCAGTGAAAATTGAGTGGAACTCCTCCTCCGTAAGAGGGCCGCGTTCTAGCAGCGATTGAATGAGTGTGTGGTGCTTCCAGCTTAGCAACGCCATGATCAGATTGGTGTTCCGGAGGAATGAAATGGGAAATACAGAGATTTACCGGGAAAACCACGGGAGTTAGGGTTTAAATGGCGGGAAGGTTTTCAATTTGTTGTATTTATATTTGTCTCGATTGGACCTCTCCACACTAATGATTTCATGTGGTCTTAAGTGATAAAGTGGCAAATTTTATTATTAAATTGCAATACTTGCCTCCATAAAATATTTATTTATTAAACTTGTATATAAACTTTCATAAAAAATAATTTATAAATGTATTGAATGACCTCATTGTAAAAATAATAGTATTTATTTTAAAGGATCCAAGTTCAAACATATTATCTTATAATCACCTTAACTATTAAAAACATAAATCAATTATATACATAAAATTTTAATTTTCATTCGATATACGTATTTTTAAAAACAAATACATTAATTTTTTCATATTAATTAATATAGCTATTTATGCATAGAATACATAAACGTAAAATAATGTTATGATAAAATAACATTAGTAATTTATAAAATTAAATATGACCAAATTTTCTGAACAAAAATTTATAACAATAAAGTTACATATAACATTACACATTTGATCCATCTTTAAAAGAAAAAAAAATACTTATTAAGCTCTTACTATAACCTCAGTAATATATCTAAATATACTTAAAAGTGACCTAAAAATATAGTATAGCTTACGTCTATGATATATATGTAAAAATCTTCATCTTAATTTTGATTTAACATTAAATCTCAGATTTGGTTACGAACAATTTCTACTCTATCTTTCAATCTATTACTCAACAATAATTATGTAAAATATCATAAATATATATATATAAGAGTATTTGCATGATTCAACTATTTTTTTAGTCACATTTTTATTCCAACTTGCGTTTATTAATGGTTTGCAACGATTCATCTATACAAAATTTAATGTCAATAATTAAAACAATATCCTATTTTACCAAGTAAATTGTTCACCCCAACAAGGTTCTCTAATTACTCGTCAGCTTCTTCATATCTCTAAAGCTACATTATTTAAGAACCTATTTGAATATTCGGAAACCCTTGTGTCGTAACCAGTTTTCGCCCGTACACGAATTTCCTTGACAGAAAAATATGTGAATGAAATAAATGGTTTTTTAAGAAAATGTTTTAGAGTCGGCATTGACCTTTTTGAGTTAGGTAGGTCGAATACCTCAAAATCACATTTTAAGAGAGTTTTTAAGAAAACATCTGTTAAAAGATAAATCAGTCTGTGTATAACCAAAAATTCATTCTTTTTAGTAATAAAAAGGGATTTGTGGTCGTTTACGTTCGGGAAAGGATTAGCACCCCACAACGCCCAAAATTGGTACCCATTGATTATATAATTGTCTCTAGTAGTGAAAATCTAAGAATTCAAATATAAATTTAATTTATGATCCTATTATTCCATATTCAACCGCATAATTTTATTTAATAGAAAATTATAATAATTCAATATTTCATATAACTAAAACTAAAATAAATTTAGGTTTTTATAAACATGATATTTATTTATTTTAAAATATCAAAATAGGACATCAAGTTACTTTAAGACAACACTTTTTTAATATTTAAAAATAAATAAATAAATATTAATGAGAATATGATATTTTTTCTTAAAAAATAATTTAAATAAAAATGAAGAAAATATATATTTTATATAAGCAAGATATTTATTTATTTTTAAAATACTAGAATAAGACATCTAGTTATTTTAAGACAATACTTTCTTAATATTTAAAAAAATATTATTATTTAATTAATTTATAAAATTAATCAAATAATACTTACTAATTTTTCATATATATATATATATATATCTTAACGTGTCTAAGATTAATTAAATAAAGATAAAATAAAGAAAAATAATTAAAGTACTAAATTAAAAGTATTTAAAAAAATACAATTATAAAAATAAAATAAAATTATAATTAAACAATGACCAAAATAAAATAAATTAAAAAATAATATTAATTTATAAAAATATATAAATTAATAGCCCTAATTCGAAATATAATAAAATATAGGTATTAACAGTGTAATTTATGCCTAAATAATATTCAAATTAAATTATAAATTATTAAAATCTAAGAGATTAAATCTAATATTTACCCTAAATATATATAAATACTAGTAGAGACTAAAATATAAATAAAACAAAATGCGAAGTCCAAATTAAAAGGCACAAAAACATGATTTTAGTGACCAATTTGAAACTATTACAAATTTAAGGGACCACATAAAGGGTTTTCTCATAATGAAATTACAAAAACACTCCCTCCCCAAAACGACGTAATTTTGATTTGGGTATAAATAGACTTTAAATGGTCATTTCAAGTTATTTTGCTTCATTTTTTCTATTTTACTTCTCTCTCTAAAGAGAGAGAATCTCTCTCTTCTCTCTAAATTCCCTCATTGGAGGGAGCTCCGACCACTGACCGGTCACTATTCTGATCACTATTCACAATCGGAAAAAATAAAAATACACCAAATCATAGATCGAAACACCCTAAACCCGAAACTACCCTCATTTTTTTCCTAAAAGTCTTTCAATCAGCCTAGATCTAAGATTTTACCTTCGGTAAAATGATTTCCGACGACTTTTGAGCTTCAACAAAAGTATGTTTCTTCTCCCTTTTGTTTCCTTGCTTTTAAATAGCTACTACTAGTTGTTCGTAGCTTTCTTTTGGTTGCTTCCTGCTTGCTCTCTGTCCTTTGCAGATTCAAAGGCCTTTTATAAGCTTCAAAATACTGTTTATTCGGTGGATTTTTAGTGAGTCACCAGATCTATGATGGTGACTCACTTTAGCTTCGATGAGGTGTGCGGCCGTCTTTGAGTCTTTTGGAGGCTTTGGTGGGGCAGTGGCATCGTGGAAACGACTGATTGGGGAACATGGCGACGGAGCAGTTAGAGGCGACGCTCCCTAGGGTTGGTGAATCCTAGAGTTTCTGCTGGAAGAGATCTGGATCGTTTGATCTCTCCAAATTCAACGGTTGATAGCGTTGACGACTGGAGAAGATGTTAAAAACCCTAATCGAGTTTGGATCCTACTGGATCATCTGGGTCGGGTCTAGACTGTGTTGGGCTTTTGATCTGGGCCTCCGAGTTCTGTTTGTAATTAGTTATTATAATAAAATTTATTATTTATTAATTAATAATAATATAAATAATAATATAAAAAGGATGGGACGAAAATGGCTGTCGACAACTTGTAAATGGAGGTTAATGGTACTGTTCTAAGAAATAAATTGCCTTCACCAACATAAGAACTCATCAGATTTATGTCCAGATAGATCCGACAAAATCGAAACGAAATTCCACGATGATCTTAACATAAAAAACTCACTCACAAAACACTAGTCGATACCATCACACCATTCCACATCAAAGATCCGAATAGACCATAAAAAAAAGGTTCAGAAAGATATAAACTAAATCAGGACAATCATCCTCAGTAGCTTAATGATCTCCGGGCATGCTCTTAATAATATCAGAATCACCTGAAAAGGTGAAAAGAAACACAAAATATTACCACAATCAGAAGTACATATCTAGAGTGTATGGAAATTCAATATGTTATCGACTCCTTTATACATACCGGGGTCGATGATGCTGAGGCAGCACACTCTGAAATATTTGCCACAGGCAGTGCCCAAGTCTACATTGTCTGTAAAAACAGAACCACCACATTTTTAAGAGAGTGATCCTTAAAGCAATCCATTACTCAAATGAACCAATATATCACAAATTACACATAACTAGAATGACGTGACCATAACTATCGATTCATTAAAGGACTTTGACTAACATATTAGTTCCACAAAAGAAAATGCGAATACATAGGGCTTTTCACAATATCTTCTGCTGCAAGACCTACTGCTGAACTAAAGAAACACAGGGGGTAGGGAAAGGCATGATTTAATTTTATCGATAATCGGTGTACTGAACATGATATGGATTCAATTCGATGTGACGCAAAAAAAAATCCAATATGCAAAACAATGATACAGGTCAAGGTACATACTTCCATTGTAGTGGTGAACTCCAACCTTGCACAACATGGCATAATATTCAATCTCTGACTTCCTAAGAGGAGGGCAGTTGTTGGCAATGATAATCAACTTACCTACAAAAAAATATCATTAATTGTAAAATCCAATATCACACGAATAAACCAAAAAAAAAAAAACCGTAATGTCCTTGTTCAAGTTAAACACTATTTTAACCAGAAGGAAGTTCATCCAACATCAATCCACCATCCAAAGCAATAAAAAATCAATAAAATAAAAATCCCAATTAGAACAAAGTACTAAAAGTGCCAGGAATACTCAAATAACGACCAGGTAGTTCAGCAATGTTATAAAGTTGTAAAAAACTTGAACAATGCTAAGGCAAATACGCAGACTTAAAAATAATAATTAATACCTTTGGAATTTCTGAGAGATTTAAGAACAGTTTTGTAACCTAAAGTGTATTTCCCACTCTTCATAACGAGAGCCAATCTGTTGTTAATGCTCTCATGGGTCTTCTTCTGCATTTCGTGAAATACCAAACCAAAAATATTCCCATTAATTAACTCATTTTGCATAAAATTAAGAATAAGTGTGAACACTAAACAAAATTAAAAATGGGAGATGGAGATTTACGGTCTTCTTGGCGGCAACCATTGTCGTCGGAATCGGCGGAGATATAAAAGCAGCTACAAATGGTTCATCAAAAACAATGAAACCCTAAAACTAACGAGTACATTGATTCTGAGTTTAGGGCTCTTAGTAGCTTCCTTATTGGGTTGAGTTTTAAGGCCCGTTATTAAGAGTAGATCAGGCCGACGCATGAAGAATACTTCATTGGACCAATTTAAGATGAACAATGTATAAATTATATAAACACAATATATTAAATTCTTGAAATTTTAATTGGTTTTTTATATTTTATGAAAATTTTTAGAGTGGTTTTATTACTTTATTTATATTTTTAAAATTAATATTTTTATACTTGAAAAGAAAAATGAAGATTGAAGATCCACTTGAGGATTGATTAATTTAAAAGTTTACATGTATAGCAACTACAATTATATGTATAAATCTAATAGTTGGATTATTATAATATTAATTGTGAAAAAAATTATGAAAGTGTGTAAAATCCACTTAATTTTATATCAGTATACGTGGACCATTTCTCTCTATGTACATATAAAAGGGGAAACTATTTGATATACATGTTTTGAGTTTAATTTTTTATTAGTTTGTAGTTATTACAAAGTAACATGTGTTTAAAAAATTCTCACTTATTTGAAAATAAACGCTCAAATACCCTTACAAATGTCGTGCTCGAACACTCAAAACCTCTAAAGATAACAATCCTTCTTTTAACCATTAAAATCACTTAATAAAATAGATAAATTATGGAAAATAATATTTACTAACTCATATATAATAGGAATATTCACATATACAAAATATAAAACTAGAGTAATTTTACACATTTTCGTAATTATCTGAATAGTTAATATCTCAACCCTTCAACTAGTATATTTCATGTTGTATTTAAGTAGATCATACGTATCAAATTATGAATAAGTTAAAAATATTTGATAATTTATTTGAAATGACGTACTTTCAGCCGTGAAATACATATATTAATATTCTCATTTGAAATACAACGATATAAAATCGATTCGAAGATTTTTTATTTATTTTCTAATGAAAAGTGGGATTATTATCATATGCATCGTTAAAAATCTTTCTAAGCATAGTCGGAGGAAAATAGTACACATGATAATAACACAAATTCAACAAGAACTATTCAAAACAAAACAAATAAACAAAGCCAAGCACATTCAGCTTCCCACTAATAAACCAATTTCAACACCAAGCTTCAACCAACATCCTCATGCAACACGTTAATGATATCAGCAGGGGGAGAACAAAGCATTTGAGTTTCAACGATATCAGGACCTGCACTTCTCGCTAACCTGTCAGCAACACTATTCCCTTGTCGCAAAACATGCTGGAATTGGACCTCCCAAAGACGACTAATTAAACCATAAATATGGTCCACGATAGTTAACGACCTACTTCTCGGTTGATGATCACGAATTACGCAAATAGCGTTTAAGCTATCCCTCTCGACAATCACTTTGAAAGAAAAACTGTATGGGTGTTAAATAGCTTGCAATGCAGAGAGCAGGGTGGTCCTTTCCAAGGCAAATTCATGATTGAGATTTCATCGAAATTGATCAAAACCATAAAAATAGGGTTTTTTTATTTGAAAAAAGAAAAGAGATCCTAAACATTACAGGTATGGCTAAATTCACTAAGCAAAATGTGTAAGCCACACTAAACATTATGTTTGAATTCACATTCTTTTTACATGTACATAAATATATAAATATATGTTACACAACGCACTTGGACAGAGGAGAGGAAAATTACACAGTTGAGGGGGGGGGAGATCCATTAATATACAGGCCACAGCAATCCCATACCATAGCTGGCATGCCATCCACAGAGATATGCTACTTTATCCCTACGTCGACGCCTTTATCTCCTCTGCTTCTTCGATAATGGCTCTGCTTGTGGTTTGGTCTACAAAACAGTAAAATGATGCGTCAAGAGGCGTATGTGAATTTCAAAGGTGAGATCTTACGAGAAAATTATATTTATTCGTACCATAATGATGAACATTTTTGTATGCATATTAAATTACAGAAAACTGCAATTAGCAATGGAAGATGGTGCTTACAGCATTTGAAAGCTGCTCTTGAATGTAGGCCATTGATCTCAACATTGCACCTAATGTATCCCTGGACACCTGGAATTTAACCTCCGACTCTCCGGTAGAGGTCTCAGAGTCTTGAAGCTGGAACAGAGATTATCAAAGAGAAGAAAAATAAGCAAAAGATGGAAGCGAAGCGAAGTGCTTAGAGGTTAAAAGAAAAACCCTTGCTCAAGTCTAACAGGATCAGGGTTCCAAGTCGCGGTCGTGTTTTCATTCATTTCGTGTTTACCGCGATTGTGGCCATAGCGGGCGCTATTGGGCACTATTGCGGGTGTAGCGGGTATATCGGAAGGCAGCGCTACCGCTATTTGAAACCCTGAACGGGATATGGTGTTAAAGCAAGAGTCAAATGACTCGAATCATATATTCATTTCTGCATCGCAAATTTAGATTCAACACGATTCCATATAAAATATCGAAATTCCTTACAAACATATTACTCCACAATAAAACAACATATCAAAATTTATTATATGATAACAAAAGGTCAGCCCCATATAAAATATCGTAGCATAGGTTTATTTTCTCGAGTATCGTAACCATTAGGAAGAGTGTGGCTTGATTATGGCTTAACATACCTTCAAATTGATGACGGCAACCCTGTTCGCTGGGGTGGAGAGCTGTTCACTAATATAAGCCATAGACCTCATCATAGGTTCTAAAGTAACCCTTGAGAGCTGAAACTTGACCTCCATTTCAGCAGATGGATTCTTGCCATAATCTTGCAACTGTATCGATTATACATCAGATATGCATAAGAAAAGGGTTTAGAATAAGTTAAAAATATGCGACACAAAGTGTAATGACTAAAAATATCTATCAACTCCACAATTGCAGACGTAAGTGAAACAGTTTTAAAGGGTTACTGTACTTGAACAACTAATTTAAAGGTTATAATTTTTATAGGTTAATGCAACTAATTTGTTACACTGGCTACTAGAATTTTACCATACATACCTTTAAAATAATGACTGCCACTCTATTTCCAGGTGTTGAATTCTTATTCTCCATCACCCAAGTCATTGATTTCAAACAAGGAAGAGCCGGCTACATCAAAGCAACCCATAAATTTATCAAGTAAATATCATTTTCTTCAATACAAGACCAATGAATAAATGAAATGACAATAAAAAGAAACAAAGACAAAACAAAGAATTACTTATCATACCATGTTATCAGAATGATTATCATCCCGATGGAGGGAAACAGGAGCCATATGTGGCAGATTCAAATCTGAGACATATTGAGCTGGAGCACCAGTGTCATTAAGATTGAATCGCCGTGTACTTTCATCTTGCTGTGGCCATAGCAAAGGGGCTGTATCTGCAGCTGAAGTTGAGCTCCTATTGTCACCATAAGCAGCACCAATAGCATGTGAACCTGGAGGTGCAACTTTTGCAACGCTTTTCTTTACGACAGAAACCTTCTTCCCACCTTCCTTAAGAGCACCCATTGCAACATTATAAGTTTCAGTAGCGATTGCCCCATCTTCAGCATATTTGACTGCTTCCCTGCACAAACTATTATACCGTGCTGTCAGGGACACTTGGCCGTGCAATTCTCCACCATGTTCGTCTATCCCAACCCCAGACTTAGCATTTCGTGTCCATCGTTTCAAGATGTAATGAGACGGTAATGTAAGTACATTTGTCACAGTGAAGACTGTCAAAACATGTCTACAAAGGATGCCTGAATACTCAAACATTTGACAACTACAATTAGCTCTCATTTCCGGGTAGTTTAATGTAACTATGAATGCTTTGTTAACGTCCTCAAACTTAGCAACTCTAAATGTGCTGATTATGTCATTCCCTTCAATTCTATTAGCAGTGTAAACAAAAGTTTCAACTAGTTCTTCCTGAAATTTTTTGAATATTTTCCGTGTATATAGATCTGCTGCCTGTTGCTCCATAGGTGATGGTGTCCGCAACACAGGAGTGGTGCAAATCGTGTCAAAATCAGCCTCAATCTCCCTTTCAAACCAATTCTCCATTGCTCGTTCATACTGTCTAAAGAACATAGGTATTGTGGTCTGTTGATTCACATAACCATCAAAAAAGGAGCCATCAAGTCCTTGGCTAGGGGATATTGCAGCAAAAAAGGAATCTCGAAAATAGACAGGGACCCATTGAGCTCGAGCACTATATACTGACTGAAGCCAATCATGTGCACTAAGATTATACTTCTCAAGAAGGGAACTCCAAGATAATTCAAACTCCTCAATAGTTTCAGTCAAATTTATGCAATTATACAGTTCTACCTGAAAATTTGGATGCACATGACAAACATGAGCTAGCTTCTCCGGACCTTCTCTTAAAACATGCCACTTATTAATACAATGTCGAACACCTGGAAACACCTGTGACACTGCTGTCTGCACAGCTCCGTCTTGATCAGTGATTAAAGAAACAGGTTGACGATCATTCATTGCTGTAAGAAATGTTTTAAAAAGCCAAACAAAAGAAGCCTCAGAATCATCTAGTAGTAGTGCACAACCAAACAAAATTGTCTGACCGTGATGGTTGATCCCTGAAAATGGAGCAAATGGCACCCTATACTGATTTACTCTGTAACTCATGTCCAGTTTCACAGCATCACCAAAATGCATGTAGGCTGTCCTTGACCTTGCATCGGCCCAAAATATATTACCCATTTGATTATCATCATCCAGCTGGACTGCATAAAAGAAACCAGGGTTCTCAGCCTGCATCTTCTTGAAATAATCAAGTAGATTTTGAGCATCCCTCCCCATGGTTCTCTTTCTCGTAACAGGCCTAACAGCATAATTCAGTGTCCCAATATTCTTAACTGAGCGATTTGCTTCGGCTGTAGGAGTGCTCCTGACACCACGATTATTTGTGTCTGCGGAGACATGATTTCCATCAATAGAAACATACATCACACCACTTGGTACGATTCCCACCCCTTGGTAACCATCGACCATGGTCTTTGCAGCA